CTGGGAGAGTTAGCAATTGGCGTGTCCATCACTGCGACACAAAATATCTATTGGGACTCTCTACATAGCTATAGGCTTTATCTACAGATTCATCGACAGTGCCTCCTTAGTGGAGCTCACTGCCCATGGTTTGGATACGCCGAGCACATTGCCTTAAAACGTGTGTGGCTGTTTCATCCTCTTCTTGCTTTCAGTCTTTTCTTCCAATCAAATTAGGCTTAGATATCCTTTAAGCCACCAATGGCCCGTCAGTAGAGCTACCATTAATCTTACGCCTTTTCTTTTGCAGCTTAGCGGGCCTGCTGTAAATTTACCGAATGGGGCTCTAAGGTCTGATTTTGTTCTGGCAGATCTCTCCACCATTACTGACATTCTCTTTCCATCCACTTTTTGATGGCAGAGTTTGCAATGGGTTTAGCCTTATCCCAAACTAACTTGGATGTTATATAAATAAATAAATAATAAATGTTATATAATAAATCGCAAATGTTTTATTACGAATCTTTTCTAGTGGGGTAATCTCTGCTTGAAACACTGTTGCTTTATATATAACTTTACAATATATCACTCGTGACTAAATTGGCGTTTAATAAACTTGCTGCTTATAATGCTGTTATCAATGTTTTAGTTACTAGTTATCATAACAACCCAATTACAACCTCATTCAACTGGTATCCTGTCAAAGAAAAAAAAAACAAATTTTTATTACTTATATAATATGTTAACTTATATTACATTATAATAAAATTTTTAGTCCTGGGTTCATATATTTGGCTCCTGCTCCTTCTAGAGTTTTTGAGCCTTCTATGTATCAGATTATTTAACAAAACAGTAATTGGGTATTGTGCTGTCCATAGACAGCCATAGCACTTCATCTGCTTGTTTGGTTGCTATTTTCAACAATTGTTGGTGACACCCTGCATTTGTCGGATATTCAGTATGACCTCCAAGGCGGAGACTCCCTATCCCTTCCACGACACTTGGCTGCTTTATCGCCATTATTCTTGTCAACCAAACGAAACAAGAAAGAATAAATAAGAACTAAAAGTTCACATTTTCACGAAATTATATATTTTGACAGGACAATTGTTTCGACAACACCATGTCTTTATCAAATGTAATATTTACAAACTACCTGCTACTATATATACCGAAAAATGACCATAAAACCTTAATTAATATTGTTGCGAGACATTCAAATGTATTGCTTAACGATCAATTAGATTTAAATTCTCGCAACAACATTAATTAGGGTTTTATGTTCATTTTTCGCTATATATAGTATCAGGTAGTTTTTAAATATTACATTTGATAAAGACACGTTGTTGTCCAAACAATTGTGATGTCAAAATATATAATTTCGTGAAAATCTGAACTTTTAGTTCTTATTTATTTTGATAAATGGATTTTCATCAAGTAAAAGCCTCAAAATAAATAAGAACTAAAAGTCCAGATTTTCACGAAATTAAATATTATGACATGGCAATTGTTTCGACAACACAGTGTCTTTATCAAATGTGTTGTCAAAACAATTGTCATGTCATAATATATAATTTCGCGAAAATCTGAACTCTTAGTTCTTATTTATTTTGATAAATGGATTTTAATCAAGTAAAAGCCACCTCAGTTCAAGTGCAAGCCTCCTCAGTTCAATTTTTAAAACAAGAGAGAACACAAAGTCTTACTTATATTAAATTGCAATATTAGGTTTAGTACAAGTTAATTTTAGTACAAAATATCTTTCTTACTCGAAAAATAGGTGTTATTTTTTCTCTTCAGAAAGAGTGCAAGAAAAGATATGCTTTATTTACTTTACTTCAGATTGACTTTAAAACAACTTCAAGAATTTAGTCTAAAAATGACAATTATTTTTTTTAGTTCCAGTTTCAAAATATCAAATCATGAAAATCATCGGAAATTGTAGAAATTAAATTGTTCCTTGTAAGCAATAATTTCCTTTTGTTTTTTTTTTGTTGTTTGTTTTAAAATCAATGTTTTTGAAAATTCAAAAAAAAGTATAGAAAAAGGCAATGGGATCATTGAAATCTATCGAATTACATATTTAGCTTCCTTTGTCCCTTTCTCCATTGACACTCCATTGACTGGTTTTATCTTTATCTGCGCTAGAGAAAATGAAAGCAGATTGGATAATTTATGGGAAGCCATCCTGTCGTCCGTCTAGAAAAGGCACATTTTGCTCAATGGTATAAGTGTGCATACTAAAAAATATAATTTTTCCGTACGAGTACTGAAAGTACTTTCCCGTACTACATCTGAAATTGGAACATTTTGAGTAGATGTTTTAAATCACCCAAAAGTATTTTTTAAATTTGAAGTATGCTTCTGAAATATGCATTAATAAAACTTAATGTTTTTTTTTCGTGTTTCCCATACCTATTATCTGGATCTTTAAATTCAGTGAAAACATCGTACTCAGAATGCAACCAATCATCCGTTTAAGCAGTTTTCATTGCTTGCTAGTTGTTAATTATTTCGGAAGAAATTTTATTGTTAGAAACGCGCTATTTTGTCAAATTTAAAAAAGTTTATCCGAAACGGTCGGTTCTTGAAAAATTACGATGCGGTGGTTTGCAATCAATATATTTTTTAAAAAGGGGTCGTCTCATTGTCGCCGACGGGAGGTTGGATCTCTCTCTCTCTCTCTCTTTGGATGTCCGACGACCCCGTTATTGGATTAAAACAATTAGACGAAAGTGTAAAAATGCCCCGGAAACGTGTCTGGAACGCGGGCACGCCACTTGAACAGATTTATGATGGCGAGTGGCGCGGCGACGTCCGCCCATTTCGTAAATTACATTAAAAATTAAGCCCGGGACAATGTAGCCCAGGCAGACCCCGGTGCTTTCTCCTCGTTGCGGCGAAGCGTATGCGTTCCTTTATTAAAAGTGTGTACCCACGGCGTCGCGACAGGATGAAGTTTTAATCACCAGATAAAGGAAATCTCAGGGCGGCGGTGAAAAACAAAACCCATAGTGAGTGAAAGAGAGAGAGAGGATCTGTGGGAGCCGCAAGCCATTCTGGAGACGCGGCAGTGGATTTGAATACCGAGAGATTCGGCTTCTGTGCCTCTTACCTGCGCGACCTCTGGATATCACGATTTTATGGTATCGGCAAGAGTAAAAGAAAAACGAATTCCGAGCCAAACCCGTCCAGGGTCACTTATTCTTGAATTTTAGGGAATGGAAATATTGTGGCTAAATAACCAAAAAAGCTAGAGTAGTTAAGAATTTCTATGAAAAATGAGCGAAAACTGTACTGCCCAGAGAGAAATTCTATTCTATTGTTGATGAATGATAGAAATGGGGGAAAAGGCAAGATTACAACATAAAAATTTGTTTTTTTTTTGTGGTTTGTGCTTATTCATGATATTTTTTTTACGATATTAATATTTAGCCAAAAATCGCAATAATAATGGAGGACCTCAACCAATTTGCGTGGAATAAAATTACCGACTTTAATTTGTGGAAATTACGGTTAATAAACTTGTCGACATACAACGCTTTCTCCGTGTGCCATTTCTATGCCTCCATTTCTAGAATACAATACAATACCTTTTGGTATTCAGAGACATTTTTAGGGAATAGAAATCTTAAAATCTTCCTTGGGGAATAAAATTTTTCCTTTGTTAAAAAATGATTACACAGATTCATTTGGTACATACCGCGTGTTTCGAAAGTTACGCTGCACCGACATTAAGATTAAATATTTATTGCGATATAGGTTAAAAAAAATCATTTAGGTTTACTTTATACAAAACTTCTGGATTCCTCCTGCGTTGGTTTTTGATGAGTCGAACTTGCTGACGTTTCACCAATCATCCTGTTGGCTTCTTCAGAGCTTGACTGAAACTGCCGAAAATCCTTATTCGATAAAACTAAAATTCTTGCATGTAATCAATTCCTCTACCAATGAAAGATCCGAGAGTCCATAGAAATCTATAAACAACCTAACAATCTTAACCGCGATTCAGGTCTCTAGCTGTCACCAATATGGGAATCAATCATCCGAGACGGAGTTTATAACCCTCATTTAGCTCCGCCCCCCTCAAACAATATATAAGCAGGAACAGGGTCAAATGCGAGCCAGTTTCAGTCAAGCTCTGAAGAAACCAACAGGATGATTGGCGAAATGCCATCAAGTTCGACTCAGCAAAAACTGACAAGGGAGGAATCCAGAAGTTTTGTAAAAAGTATCATAGTTGCCTGTGGAAGTACCTTTGAAAAATTAACATTTAGGTTTGTTGAAAGAGACCAATAAAACACTGAATTTATTTCAGCTTATTGGACCACCCTACAAAAGAAAACACATATAAATGGCTAGTCGTTAAAATAAAAACAAAAACTCCTGTAAATATAGATGTGGAAAAATAAAACTAAGTAAGGAAAGAAATATAACGTTTCTAAGGCATTTCTTAACTTAAATTTAAACATTAATGAAGAATAGGAAAAGCGTCACAAGAAGTCACTATTAAAGTAAAAACATCTTTTGATACTTGGGGAGCGAATAATTTGTAGAAGACTTATATGAGTACAAAGTTTGAAGCTCTGTAACAATTTATTTAGCAAATTCTATATAATTTTTGGGCAAGCCAATGAATTCATTAGACGGTGAAATAATTTTGAAACTAGCGTTCAGCTGTCGCGAAGCATCCATCCCTCCATGACTGATTAAAAATGCTTTCCGGCACGGCAATTCTTTCGTTACCTCTTATCAAAGCGAAGAAAAATATTAATATTCCCGGCGATCGCGACGTACCTTCCGGAAATCAAATAACACAAAAAGTTTTAAAAGCTTTTTTCCGTTATACACTTTAATTATTGAATTCCTTCAAATGCTTAAGCTTCTTTCGGGGAAACAACCTCAGCTGCGGCGCAGGCTGCGTAAACCTACCCCACCCCACCCAGAAAACCGTTTGTTTAGCTTCGGTCCCGCCATACTTTCGCCAATTTATGCATCTATTCCATATTTCGCAAGTCGTTTTCATAATTCCACGCATCAGGTCGACGAAAGACAGCGGCAGCGGCGGCGGTGGCAGCCTCATCGTATTTCCATTTTGCCGACGAAAAGGGAGGCCACACTCACACACACCTTATACCATTTGCATATTCGTCAGCTGCTCCACCTTAACTTTTCTCCAGATAAAGTTGCCTCCTAAAAAGGTACTCAGAGAGACAAACTATCGGGCCAAATGTGATGCATTTCAAATACCTTTTACATATTCTGTCGCCTGTATTTCGTATGGATGAATACATCACGGCAAATGGAACGAAATCGATTGTGGGGATTGGAAGGAAAAAAAGATTCCCAGCGATACGCGTGAAACGCTCCCGTGCATTAGCGGATTTCCATGATTTAAAACAATTGTTTGCATTTGAGTGTTTTATTAACTCAACGCGATTTTCATTGATCGTACACAGCTGCGGAAGCGGCACTAATAAAGGATTTGACAGGAATGTTTGAGTTGCTGGACTGTTCTTTGACTTGTCAAAAGCATTTGATACCATTGACCCGAACATACTTTCAAAATATTTGCCTCTTGTACAATTTTGGTCCTTTTCGTAAACAATTTACTAGTATATTAAGTAACAACAAAAAATACAGTCCCAAAGAGATCTGCAATTCTTCAGGTCGTACCGAGGGCAATAGCCTCTGTGTTGACTTTTATTGTTGGACTAATCTGCTAGTTTGCTATCGAGAGTTTAGGGGATTAAGAACAATAACGACGGACAGTGAGTCAGGGAAACCCTATGTGTTTGACTAATTCATTTTTTTGTACTGCCAATAGATTTTACTTAATATTAATTAAAAAACATCAATAAAATGAAAAAAATATTACGAACATCAAACTTTAATACAATATAATTATTATAGAGGAAGTTCACAAAAAACTCTATATTTATAAACAGTTTTTAATTAAATCGTGAAAACGGTTTAATAACACTACACAAAATGTAGAAAGATTTTGAAATAATTCCATTCAAGTAAATAAAAAAGAATAGGCTGTCCCAAAAGTAACAATTTAACAAAAAAGAGATATTTATTTAATATAGATTAAAACAAAATAATGTTATAGGATTTTTTAGAATATTGAAGTTTGTTTGCTTGAAAGAAACGAAACAAAACAATAACGGGGTTAAACTTAAGTTATACTATCGATCTATAAAAAAAAACAAAACAAATTTATATATTAATAGGTCAAAACTCATAACGAAAAACATATTTCTCCGTTTTTTTTTTGCCCACCCGGTAAGTTTTTTAAAAATTATTTTTATAAAAAGGTTCAGGTGGGAACAAGATTGTGTCTTACACGCAACACCACAACATGTTACTTTAATACATAGTGTCAACAGCATCCTTAAATTTGCTAAAATTGTAGCATATTGCTTAATAAATTATATATACTTTTTTGACTCAGAACAATGTAGAATTTTTTAAGGACTGCCTTTGAGAGTAATTTACTTGGCAATAAATTAGTCTCAAAACTTACCGTTACTGGCTTCCTGAATTTTGAATTGTTTCTTTAAAAAAATCCCTTGTACTGTTCACACTGAAAATTGTATAAATAAAACATTTTCAAAATGACATTGACAACAAACGTTACCAAATTATTGTTGACGTTTCCATGGTAACGAGACAACTCAAATCACTTGCTTTGAGAAGGTTCATGGCTTATTTAATTAGTCTATGATAAAGAGAACATTCATTGTACGAAATGTATTATGGGTTCATTCCCTGGCCCACCGTGCGACTTCTTGAAGGGCAACAACTCGATCAGTCTCTAAGTTGCAAATTTAGACAGAAAACAGAATTGTTAATGCACTATTTAGCAATGTTTCGAGCACTGACTTATTTTGCTTTTGCTTGTCCTTGAATTTCAGTCATCATCATGTCACTTTTTGTTCTTCCCAATTTTGCTTGTTTAGTTTCTCCCAGTTAGAAATAATAAAAAAAATTATACAAATTTATACAATGGTTGGCGATGAAATAGCAAAATTGAGCACAATCTAGCTGTCATCTGACAAATTGACTTCCATTAGAAACGGCGTTCTTAAGTAGAAAAATAAATTCTTTACGTGCAAAAAAAACATCCAAATTTTGTTGGAAAATAATAGAGGGTAAATCGTAATTGTTAATATTAAAATTAATTAATTGATATATACAAAATTTGTGCTCTAGGAGAAGAATTTTTGTAGTTTGAAACATAGTCAAATTTTTGAATTTGTTGCGCATTTTATGAAAACATTATATTCTACTCTCGATAGAATATAACCGGTAATACCAAATTCGAATAACAATAAAAGGCAATTCGAAAAACTCTTTAAAACGAACGTCGCCGATTGGACAAGGTCACGAACTAAAAGTGGGCGCACAAAATACGGGGTCGATGTTGATTCTTTTCTTCCCGAGAGGGTACACCGGAATGAAAAATTTAGATTACATTAGAGGGAAACGAGACCCCTTGAGCCACTACAAATCAACTAATTAGGCTGGCGAAACTGACTGACAGTCGCTTTCCCCTTCCATTTGGAGAACGGAAATATTGGCTGCGAAAAAAGTCTTGGAATATTACACTGAAATATTGCCTTGGTTGGGGGTATTAGTCGCGATATCGTAATTTTGTTAAACGTTTCAGTTCAATATTTTGTTAATTTTGGCCTTGACTGAATGAAGACGAAATGTAGCTGCTCTAAAAAACTCTATAAAAACAATTTACATTAAAAAGAAATTTTTATAAATAAAGATCATTATATCAAAATGCTCAAAGAAGTTTTGACACATCGAAATGTGGTTTTCGGAGTTTCAATTTTCTCTACCTTCCTTAAAATCCAACGAACTTTTGATACCCTGTATTTTATTGAAATTTAGTAATGTCATCTATGATAATAAACGCCTTATTTTGCTTTAGCTAAATAAAGATTGTGAAGGACGGTGCCATCCCAGGAGGTATTTTAATGAATGGTTAAGTAGTATTGTTTAGTGGTTTTTGTACTCCCATCTGCAAAAGACCTAATTATACACCTGCCTTCACCATTCTACGCATCCAAGCCACTTCGGACATTTCAGGAATATTACCGCACGAGTCGAATTTTGTCGTTATATCCGACGGTCATGTCATGTCATGTTTTGCAAAAATGTACCCAACAATTAATGGTAGTAGAGAAGACAAGAAGTCACTTATGCCAAATACACCCGTGATCCAAATTTCGTTTACCACACTTGTTGCATAATATACTATTTTTTACTCCCTTCTATAAAATATCTTATTATACAGCGATCCAGCGTGCGCAGAGTGTCATGAGCTGAAGATGTTAAGATAAATGGTTGTTTTGAGAAATACAATTTGTTTTAAAATGTTAAACTCATCTACTTGTTGAAACCAATGCCAATAAAATCAATTACACCATTTTTGTTAATATGGATCAAAGTATTATTTGTGTAATAGATAACATATTTACGGCACATAGTCTATGATATAATAATAAAAAAATAAAAATATATTAAACACCTAAGTTTTGTAGAATCAAAATATTGTAGGGGAGCGTCAATCAGTGACTTGCCTCTGTCGATCGCCTTTAATAGTAGCCAGAAACATTTCTAGTAGGGTATACGTTACCTACACTTCCCGTTAAGTAGTTTTGAGGTGGTGGTTAACCAACATTTATAAATGTTTAAACAAAACACCCTGTAAAGAATCACAATTGACCTAAGTGAGTTGCATTAGAGTTAAATGTTAATATTTTTAGCTCAGGGTGCTACAGCAAAAATATTTTCAATTATTACTGAATCACATAATCTAAAGGCGAAAGAGTATTAATGTTGTGGCGCCTCCCATACAAATAATTATATTCAATTCCGCAAATGTAACAATTTAGCTAAAGCCGTGGACGACGATAGTACACAATCCAGCCGAGGAGGGTCCTGTAAGATACGCAGTTGCAATAACATTTCGTGGCGAGATTCTTGTGTACAAACGGCGCTAATCAAGACACATGATTATGGTCCCCTCCCAGTAGCAGTGGCAACACCGACATGCACTGTCGCGTACGGAACCATAAAACGTCTCCTTCTTCCGCTCCCTTGCTTTATACATCCTTCATTTCCTTACTTATCCTTCGAGGATAAGGATTGGGCTAACTACCTACGTGCCTTAGTGAAATTCGAGAAAATTATGCGGGGGGATTTCCTATTTCGCAATTTTTCTTTGATAAAGTTAATAAACGTACGCGTTCGGAAGTTTTTTTTTACAGGGTAGTGCAGACACAGTACAGAGTGCTGAATGGCAATTGCGTCACTTGATATCTCCAGGCTGTGAGATTTAGATTTAATCTATAGTATAGCTTCACCAAAATCTCCAGACCTCCAGAAAGAGTAACTTACTAGGAGGCAATATTCTGGACCCGTTTCTGTTTGCAATGTGCGTGAATGGTCTTTAGGCATTATTCAAATACTTTTAAGCATAAGGCATTTAATAAAAAAAATTATTAATACCATATTCAATCTAAACTAATCTGTATTTAATTTATATGCTGACCTAACCCTTTCACATTTAATGTAATGTAGATATCGCACTTTTTTTTCTGTCCTTAGTTTCTTGTTCTTTTTTGTTGTTTACTAAAGGACGGACAAAGGAAGAAAATTGTACACATCAATGTACTTTTCAAAGGCGCCTATTCAAATCTAAGATAAGATTAAAACTATTTTACAAAAAAATACCTAAAAATATTAAAACCTATAACCTATGACCTATAACCCATAACATTTTGAGTTTTAAACCAGGATTTGTTTTTAATGGATATTGGGGTGGGTTTATAAGAATATCAATTTCTTATTGCCAATCTATATTACGTTCTTCAGAACTAATAAGGATAATTCTTCGTCTTAATATATACGCTACAATAGTGGATCATCAATTTCGAGAAGGTGAGAGATTTAAAATCTCGCTTGCGGCATTCAACAACCAACATGGCCAGTGACAGATCGTCAATAAGTTTGAATTTTTTGAAAATAAACCTAGATCCCGTTAAATGTTCTGGGGAAACGAGTTAAGTGAGTGGAAATCGCTGTTTAGGAAGAAAGTGTAGGTTAGTGGGTGAAATGTGGAAGCATGCGCGAAAAATCATTCCCTTCTCTCAGATTTTCATCTTCTATACATTCTAAGTGCACAAAAAAGCCCGCGTTCAAGGTTTCAAACAACCACGTCTCTGGGGTTTCGAAATTCAAACAAATTATTCATTACATTGGAAAATTAACTTTTTTTCGCCAGCAAACCCCAACCGGAATTAACGCAACGGTTGATCGCTATGCTGCCAAATCGAATAAGGTTTCCCTCTTCGAGGTTCCGAATCTTAAAAGAAACACGCTATGTAATTTGTATTAAGTTGTATTAGAAACAATCATGAATTGTTATTTTTTACTATACTACTATTAATTTTTCAAAGAAACTTCCACAGTAATACTTTTTATAAAATAATAATAATAATAATAATACTTTTTATAAAACTTCTGGATTCCTCCTGCGTCGGTTTTTGTTAAATCGAACTAGCTAACGTTTCGCCAATCATCCTGTTGGCTTCTTCAGAGTTTCAGTCAAGTGATTTTGTCTTTGACGGAATGAAGATGTTGAGAGATTTTTGGACAAGTGGTAAATCTGGTTTTGACGTTATATTTCTTTAAAACTTTTGATAGGTGGTCAGTGATGTTTCGAATGTAAGGAAGGACAACAGTGGCAAGTGTGGGACTGCTTTCGGCTACATTGCTATTGGAAGGTTGTGCTGTAGTGTAGTTTGTGATGGAACGCTTAATAGCTTTGATGTGGAAATAATTAGAGAGAAGAGCAGAGGTAAGGTGTTTTAATTCTGGGTTCAGTGATTTGGGTTGAGACTGAGATAGTTTTATGGCTCCGTAAACCGATGATTTTTGGGCCGGATGATGACGTGACAATGCATTAATTGGCGAAACGTTAACAAGTTCGACTGAACAAAAATCGACACAGGTGAAACAGGTGAAAAGTATTACAGTGGCCTGTGGAAGTTTTTTTGGAAAATTATACTACCATTGTACTATTTTTTCTTGTGATGTGGAAGTTGTTTTTCCTGCTTACCAAGGTAAACAAAATTGTAACATATTTACTGTTCTACAACGGTAAGTAAATTCTGATATTTTTACCGTAAACTACTACAAAAATCACCAAAAAAAAAGAAATATTTTACGAACTAAAGTTTCGAATAAGAAATACGAATTAAAAATACGATGTTGAGTAATCCTAATTACTAATCACACAACTCGTGCCAACATGCCAAAGTTCAGATACTAAGGCGTTGATTTTCGGTACATTGGCAACGCCGGTTGCTATAGCGACGAACGGGGAACGGGCATTTCGCAGGGCGGTTTTTGAGATGCTAAAAATTAAAGTTGTGAAAAAGCCAAACGTCGTTTTGCGACAGAGGCTTAATTAGGAACGTTTTCAGAAGTGAGCTTTAAATCACGAAGCGTGGAATTAGCAACGGACCGCTTTTTCGTAAGCTGCCGCCACCGACGCCGACGCCGTCGCCATTGC